TGTTGCATTTTTTTTTTCATTTTCTTTTCGTCTTACTCTATGAGTCAATGGTCACTATACAAGCATCAGTTTGGAGGTTAAGCAATTGTGAGACCAAACAAATTTTAGTTGAAATTACCAAATTTGTGGTGTTTCATGAAAAGTCTTAATTATCAGTCGTGGTTAACATCAATAATAGAGCTTATTTTTACCATTGAGTCATCATTTTACACTTGTAGTGGTAAAAATAACACTATGAATGGCCATATGACTTCTATCAATTGATACTTCAAATGATACTTCAAATGGAACATGGAAATTTCTACCTCAGTCCTTTGCTGGTGATGCAAGAAAAGAAACATCATCCATTTTCGAAGGAGTAACGTAAGTTCACGGAACTTTAGGTGATAAATTGACATTTTCTTTTTTAATAATCATGAATTACTGGAAACGAGACCGTAATTCAAAATGTCAATAAACATAATATAATAACAACATATAATACAGCAAAACAACAGACAAACGTCTGTAGAGGGAGAAATATTAACCTTTTAGTGAAGTAAAGAGTACAATAAAACTCTCCCTTAGAAGTTGGAGCAATGACATTAAAAGAGCCTCGCCAAAAAGTGGTGTTTTTTAGCCCCTTTTTTTATACCCGAGTTGGTCAACCGGACAGTGCTCAAATGAAAGCCTATGGTAAGGCAAACTTCCATGCAAAGTTTCAACTTGAAGTGACCCCTCGTTTAGGCTGTACAGCGTTGCCAATTTTTAATTTTTATGCGCGATACTCAAGGAATACTGGATTCATCATGGTTGAACAGACTAGTATACCCGAGTTGGTCAACGAGACAAGGCCTAAACGAAAGCTTATGGTAAGGCAAACTTCCAGGAAAAGTTTCACTTTGAAGTGAAACCTTGTTTAGGCTGTACAGCGTTGCCAATTTTTCATTTTTATGCGCTATACTCAAGGAATACTGGATTCATCATGGTTGAACGGACTAGTATACCCGAGTTGGTCAACGAGACAAGGCTCAAACGAAAGCTTATGGTAAGGCAAACTTCCAGGAAAAGTTTCACTTTGAAGTGAAACCTCGTTCAGGCTGTACAGCGTCAAAAATCTCGAAAAAACCCTAATTTTATGTTAAAAAATTAATAATAAATTGGCAACACTGCTTCGGAAAGTTCACGATTGCCTTTAGTTGCGCTTCTATTCAATCTCAGGGTAGTATTCAGCTCGTAGACCGATGTACTAGTCTGTTTAATTATGATGCACTCGACTATTAGTCCCGAGTTCCTTGATTTTAGCACATAAAAATGGAAAATTGGCGACGCTGTACAGCCTAAACGAGATTTCACTTCAAATTGAAACTTTGCATGGAAGTTTGCCTTATCATAAGGTTTCGTTTGAGCTTTGTCTCGTTGACCAACTCGGGTATACTAGTCCGTTCAACCATGATGAATCCAGTATTCCTTGAGTATAGCGCATAAAAATGAAAAATTGGCAACGCTGTACAGCCTAAACCAGGGGTCACTTCAAGTTGAAACTTTTCCTGGAAGTTTGCCTTACCATAAGCTTTCGTTTAGGCCTTGTTCCGTTGACCAACTTGGGTGTACTAGTCTACTTATGCACCGAACTAATAGTCCAATATCCTTGATTTTGGCACATGAAACTGGAAAATTGGCAACGCTGTACAGCCTAAACGAGGGGTCACTTCAAGTTGAAACCTTGCATGGAAGTTTGCCTTACCATAGGCCTTCATTTGAGCACCGTCCGATTGACCAACTCGGGTATAAAAAAAAGGGGCTAAACTTGGCGAGGCTCTTTCACGTTCCAAGTAAATAGTTCGTGACGGTGTATCACTTTCACTTATGCCTCATTTTCTGAGGCCAAAAGGCGTCAACACTACAAAGTTGGCGGCGGAGCGGCTGAGGCTGTTACTTCTCAATTATCAGGCTAGCGAACCGACGCGCGACGCTGCGACGCGCGGCGCGTGGGTTCTTTGACGCCTAGTTCCGGTCTTGAGAAACGCAACTTTTGACACCACTGTTATTGCTTGTGGCAACGCGTTTTGCCTACACCATCCAATGAAGGGGAATCTATTTTTACGAGGACTCTGCATACTCAGCGTTCTCAGTCCTACATTTGAAATGTCTAGTCTCACTTGGGCGGGTTTGCAGTTTGCAGACGGTTTATTGGTTTTAATGAAAATTTCAGGTAAGGGAATGGATGTGGTTTTTTTTTTTTCAAAAGTCAACAAACTACACTACCGTGCTGAGGGAAAATATTTTATGAGCATTCAAAAATTGTCAAATTGCCTCTGAGGAAATATTTTTTTTTTCTTCCTCTTCATCGGTCAGGATAAACATGTACACGGTTACATGAGTCTTCTCACTTGAGAAAACATACTTAACACGTTGCTCATCAATCAATATTTCATCCAAAATTCTGAAACGCACATGCCCTTGATACCGCGCACTTCATTAATTTGTTTTTATCTCATTTCCGACTAAAAATGTTGTTCCGATCAATTTCCAACTTCATTACACCCCTCTCAAGATTCGAAACTTGTAAAATTCCATTAATTTTCAAGCATTGGGTTTGCTTTAATACAACTTGAATTTCGGCATTACATATCGTTCCATTTCTCCAACCTCTTTGTCTCCTCCTCATTATTTACGACTTCGTACTTAATTTTATTTTCGTCGTGGGAAAAGTTCACCCAAGATGGGCTTTGTTAGCAGTTTCTCGAAACCGAATTAGTAAGTGCCAGATGTGCAACAGACGTAAAACTAGGTGCGCAAAAACAATCTTGGCAAACCTGAAGGTGGAAAATTGAGACAATGGTGTTTTCGGTTTCCTACAAATCTCGAACTTCAAAAAGCTGAGCAAAGAAAACTTCAGTTCGGGGCGTTTCGCCGCCGACTAAATTAAAAGCTTGCAGAGGTATACAGGTGACTCAACTTTGATTAATATTTAACTCGCAACTTTAATGAAACAAGCAGTATACGGGTACACTTTCCATTTGTATTTCATTAGCGGAGCCCGGATTTCCCCAAGTTCTCAAATTACTCGGCTAATTGCCTGAATGACTTGCGCGGCCTTTTCAGCCTTTTCAGAATGCTGCGGGAGACTAATTGCACCTTAATTAGGCCGTTGTGCACATCCAGAGTCATCTAAATCCCCTAATGTCTTGATCCAGAGTAAAATAGTGTTAGTGTAAAACTGAGCTGAGGATCAATTGACTCTGCTCTGATACGTGTCTCAAATACGTCGTGACTGATTGTGAGACGAGATGGATGCGGACTTCTTGGAGCGTCGCAGTACATTTTAAGAAGCTCTGTAGATCAAAGTAATTAAAAAGGGATTAATAAGGAAGATGAAAAGTTTCGAGTAGTTATTTATACCTTCTATAATAAGAAATATAATCAATATGCGAATGATGATCTCAAAAAATTCTCAGTGAATCATTTCGTCGTCTTCCGGATGAAGGAACGTAATTCCATACCATGGTTGCCGATTTGATTCAAATAATCAATTTATTTTACAAAAGTGTACCTGTGCAATTATTAACCATAATTTTTCTGATTTTTGCGTTGAATCTGAGGAAAAAATGGTGAAATTTTCTGTTTGAAATTCCATACGAGGGGGGACCCAAAAAAAACCGGAATTTTGCTGTAACTTGGCAACAATGGAAAATATTCAGGTTCCACCGCTAGGAGGTGTAACTAGGAGCTATGAAGAGTCACTAGACCAAATTTCAACATCGTAGCACATTTTCTTTCCATTTTGGCGAGACTTGGCTTCAGGGGTGTTTGGCGACTTCGTAGTTTTTTAAGATGGGTCAATTTCAATAACAACACTTAGAGCTCAAATTTTTCTCTCTTGCTCGATAAAAATACGGCTTTCTCCGTTAACCTTTTAAAGTGCTGCTTCTGAAGGACAAGCTTTATCAAAAAGTTCAGTGTAAGTACGGTTTTTCAGTTTCAAAATGGTCTGTATCGCCCGAAACCCCTGTACGGCTCTAAACCGCTATCGCCATCAGCTAGAACCGATGAAAACATGAAATAAATCGCGTTTTTGTGAATGAACATGGTTAAATATCGTTTTGTCTACTAGCAGATATCACTTGGATGTAATACAGAAATATTCAGAACATTGCTGTGAAAAATTTTGGCATAAAACGCGTTGTTGCCGAATTGATCCCCTATTTTGCGCGCTAGCCGGTGACGGCCGCCTGGCGTTCAGCCTACGTTCGAACAATAAATTACACTTTAAAACGAAGAAAAACATGTTTTCACTTATGTTATAGGTAAATCATGTTCCCTGCAACATTCACTCCAAAAATTGACAGAGTTTAGCCACACATAGCCCATGAAAATCACCTATCTTAAAAAACTACGAAGTCGCCAAACACCCCTGAAGCCAAGTCTCGCCAAAATGAAAAGAAAATGTGCTACGATGTTGAAATTTGGCCTAGTGACTCCTCATAGCTCCTAGTTACACTTCTTAACGGTGGAACCCGAATATTTTCCATTGTTGCCAAGTTACAGCAAAATTCCGGTTTTTTTTGGGTCCCCCCTCGTACATATGTCATGTGAGTATGTAATTTTTGAGGGGAAATTTGGCAACATTGAAATGGAGTTACGTTCTTTCGTGAGAGAAATGACATTTGAGAGCTACAACTCTGTCATTTATTGCGCATAATTTTGCGTGTATCTTTGAAGGTTAATTTTCAATTTAGATGATTCTATACACGACTTGACAGTTTTTAGATGCTTCATTTATTTTTTTTGGATAACCAGGGACTATAATTGTACACATAATTTACCATGGTTGGCGGTTTTTATTTCTTCGCCTCCCTGATTCAGCGTAAAGAGAATGAAAGAAAGTCATTTTTGGTAGTATTTTCACTTAGCTGATGAGAAACTAACGAGGAACTGCCTTTTCTCTGCCTTAGGGCGCATTTGTAGAATAGCAACATAAGAATTGAATTCTGAAGAGAAATTATCTTGTGTTACAGGGCAGAATATAATTAAATGGATTGGATGAATACTTGCGTTGCCACAGAATGGATCATCACGAGGTAAGTCAGATTACCATGTATTAAAATAGCATTACTTAATAAAGCTCAAATCTTTAACAATTGTATCTAATTTTGAGTAGATGCCCCTCATTTCCGTTAAGGAATGTGTTCTACATTATTTCCCATTTTAATTTTTTTTCAACTCTCACTGGAATTTCTTGTATGAGGCGTTGATTAAAATTTTCATACATAAAAGTGAAGGTGGACTCCTTCTCCAATTTTATAGAAAAAATATGTACATGCCATAGGCACTTATCAAATATCACACAAGCATCAACATGAGCATGACTCTAGAAACCGAGCTACATAAAATACAATGTCTCAGATGCGAGTTCGAAGAAATGCAAATCTTAGCGTACGTTCAGAATGACGTGATTGTTTGAATTAAATTTGAAGGGTTTTAAAATTAATGGAAGAGAGTTTCGTATCCCCATCATATTAGATTACTAAGGTGCTATGCCCCCTGGCCGCTACGCGGTCCAGCCCCCAGAGGGCGCTTCGCGTTCTCTTAGGCCCGCGTCGACAAAAGAACGACAAAAAAAATTGGCGGGAGTTTCAAATTTTGCACCCCTTTCTAAGCTTTCTGGTCTCCTCTAATTAAAAAACCTGTGTCCTATTTTCAAATTCTGATTACAGCGGGCTCATTCAGGGATCATCACCTGTTGATAATCGCAAAAATCATGGAAATCAGCTCAGTAGAACGTTCAAACAAGCTATGACAAAAAATAATAAATTACATTGGTTAAAGGGAGAATTAGCAACTTTACTACGTACTATAATATAAACCTAGGCCATATTTTCAAAATCTGAATAAAGCGGGCTCATCTAGAGACAATTGTCTGTCGATAGCCGCAAAAATCATGCAAATCGGCCCGGTAGAATGCTGGAACTAAACGTTACCAGTTACGCAAATTTAGAAGGTCTCGGAGCTTATAAAATAGATTTCGTGCAGTCATAAATACTTATAAGAACACGGATTCATTACCCCTCTAATCGATATCCGTCACCCTCATGAGAGTTCCATCAACCGAAATTATAACAACCATGTCAAGGATGCTCGAACACGTAATTGTGATATCCTTGGAAAATTATTTCACCCTTAGTCGAGGAGGGAGTTTGGCTCTTTCAATTGAATCACAGTGAAAGTTTCATTCGTCAAGTGGAGTATAATTTTAGGGGTGCACGCTCGCGAGATGCTGCGTAAGTATTCATAAGTGTCAGGAAACTCTAAACGCCCGTCGCCTGCGGTCGTGTAACTGAACTTTGGGGGAAGCGTACTTAATACGTGAGCCACGTATCCTTCGAGACGTGCCTTATCATTCTTATCTGCTGTTGCCACGGTGCTCAAATCTAAAGAACGGTTGACCACTGAATGTATACGCCAATAAAAACGATGTGAGCTATCATTACTACCTGTAAGCTCTCTGTTTCCCAAATTTTCAATTTTGATCACGGTTCGCTACACCGTTCTACTGGGCCAATTTCAATTATTTTTGCGACTTTCGACAGGCGTTAGTCCCTGAATGAGCCCATTCAAATTAGATTTTGGAAATTTAATCTGGGTTTTTTTATGACACGTGATAAAGTGTGGATTCTCCCATTTATATAATATAAATCTTCATTTGCTGTCCCAGTTCGTTCTTAAAATCCACCGGGCTGATTTTCATGATTTTTGCGTGGAGTTTGTCCTCAAAAAGTCGGCTCAATTCACATGAACTCTCGAGGAACCCGCAAATCGGGTCTCAGATGGCACAATATGCTCATGGGGGTTGGGCCGCGTAGGGGGCACATTCCAGCACCCCCCCCCCCCTCCGTAAAGACAAACGTTTTAACTTGCAGTTGTCACAAGACAAAAAGTCATGCACGCCTTTCTAAAATAAATAGAGTGCTGCATTATTGATTTCGATTCATAATACAATCAAGTGCACGAATGTGTAAGTAAAATTGCCTGAACGGTGATTTGAAGGCAGTTTATTTTGTGTGAGCAGGAACAGGAGATATAAATTGAGGACTGAGTAACTGTCTTCTCTGCGACACGTTCGATTTAATACCTGTGAATTTGTCCTTTTTCCAAAAGTGTTATATGTCACTAGGGGACCCACCCTAGCCACTGTGCGGCCCAACCTCCAAGGCGCTTCGCGTCGCTTCAGATCGTGGTCTGTTCATGAAATCAAGAACTCTTGGACAGCAGTTGAGAGGCTTGGAGGACAAGGCGCATAAGTGCAGTTTTTGCTATTCCGAGAATTACGTGCTTGAAGTTTCGAAATTGCATGGATTATTACGTCGAAAAGAAAGTTCAAACTGACTTTTTGTTGCTTAAATATTGGAATTTTGGAGCGCCTTTTTCACAGAATATGCATGAAGACTAGTTTAACTTGAGATCTCAATTTTTTTAAAAATTGCACTTAAGCGCTTTGTTCTCCAAGCCCCTCCGTTGGACTTTGAGACATTACTCTTAATAAAAAGTCTCCATCAACCGTGTTATGATGTATTTTCCGAAAGAGCTCAAAAGAATGAAAAACCAATAATCACACGCAAAAAAGTGTGCTTTGTAACAGAAAATGTTTCTGTATACATGAGAATCCCTGCCTTTGCGGGGGGGTTTTGGAGTTATTTGTGGGTATTGAAGAAGTTAGCCACAGCGCAATGCTCTAGATTCCTCTCTGCCGAACTCGCTCGAACAAGCTGATTGTCTGCCTTCCATTCGGCGCAAAAAATTGCTGAAACCAGAACATTTGCGGGGCGAAACTTTCATCGTCACGTACACACAAGAATACATGTATACCGGAGAGGGTGAATGCAATAATAACACGTACTCCGTCAAAGTGAGAGTGCTCGCTCGGAACTTGGTGCCTCGGTGTGAAGTGTAGAGAGTCAAGATGCGCGAAGAATGGCCCGAGAGGATGCTCAGGGTCCCGAGATGAATGGTCTGGCTGCACGTAGAGCGATGTAATGTCGCCTGAGGTCACGGGTCCTGGAATTGGGTGGCGAAAGGCAGTCGGTTGCGAATATTAAATTCGGCTTAGGCTCCGCCCCAGCCTTACGTTGTCGTTCCTCTGACGTAAGGGCGTATCTCGATTTGCACATGAGCCCCAGAAAGCATGGGTTTATATGGAGAACAGGGCTCAAGTAAAAAACGAGATACGCCCTTAAGTCAGAGGAGCGACGACGTGTGCCACCGTGACTCCTCTCGCAAGTTCGGAGATTCTGACATCGGTGGCGGCTGTAGCCATGGAGGTGGGAAAGCCACGAAATCCACCGTTGCCATGAGACGAGGTCTATAAATTCGAAATTATGAATTTCATTCAATCTTGTTTGAGCTTCAATAAAGGCTGAAAGTGAAATATGTCAGCAAGAGAGTTGAGTAATTTCTTTTTGAAGTATTGATAATTAAAACAGGTGGTTTTTATGGAGTAAGGGGGAAATTACTGGACTAGCTGTGGGGTCTCTCGTCGGTTGCCGATAACTAGTCAATTATCAACCTCCTTTGTCCGCATTGCAACCACCCGCTTCCGCCAGTAGGATTCCCCCCCCCCCATTTTCCCTCTGTCTTTTAATGGCTATCGCTTTGTCTATTAAATTAAATAATCAGCTAGTTGGTACCCTCTGAAACATTAAAAAAAAAGACAATGTAAAAAGCGGGTAACAAGGCTAATTTTCACGAATAAAACCAAACCGTCTCGGCTGAAAACTCAGCCTTCCTCAGTTGGATAAAATAGTACAAAGAAAAATGGTAAAAATCTAAAAAGGTACCTGGCTGTACCTTTCAAAGCGAGTTAACTGCGTGTTAACCAGTGTTCCCGGGTGCTCCGTATGCGAGATCCGTACGCTCTCCGCTCTCCGTGCTGCTATTGGCCGAGCGTCATTCTGTGACGTCACGCGTACGGACTGAACAAGATAGGGAAGCGTTTTCCCATTAGGTTTTGGTCCGTACGCGGTCCGTGTCGGTGTAGGAAATGTCCGCGCGGCACGGATAAATCCGTACGCTTGGGATCACTGGTGTTAACTGTGTTATCAAAATTTCTTTCATAACAATATTCTCGTTCTGAAAGGTACAGCCAGGTGCTATTTTAGATTTTTACCATTTTCCTTTTGGGCGCTTCTGGGTACCAGATGCGCCCTTTCCAGCCGTTCGACTCCCCCGATGTAACATGTACTATACTACATACCGTTTTGCCTTATGGGTAATGACGCCATTCTGGTACACCCGGGAAAATTTGATTTTTTTCTGCATCTGGTATTCGTAAAAGTTTTCGTGAAATGTTTTGCTTTTAAGCATAACAATCTCGCACGGACGTATTACCTGGTTAAACTATTTTGGGGCTTCGTTATGCTTAAATGCCTCATATTCGAGGTTGTAGTTTCAGATTGATTCGAAAAAATCACGAACAGTCATGTGATCTCTTCATTTTAGTGACGTATTACTGTGCTATTTTGTGATTGGTTCATTCTCTCGGCGCAGCATCGTCAAGCGTCAGCTGTTTGCGGCTCTGGGTTGAAGGTTTAAGGTTATGTCAGAGAGAATAGAAAGTTAGAGGCCCGACTCGATGCTAGGTAATTGAAACAGATGCGCTCGCAGCGCGCTCGCTGGCAACGTACGCAACTACTATTTTCTATTGTTTTCCAGAGACTAGCGGCGGGTATGTTGCTGCCGGACCATCTTCACGTAGGCAATTTGTTATACATCGTCCGTCCGCAATACTCTCGCTTGGCCGTATGAAAACGTTCCTCGCATGCGCAGTGTTAAAGAAGCGCCCTCCGACGCTTTGGCGTTGGAACTGCTTGTTTACTATTTTATCTAACTGAGGAAAGCTGAGTTTTCAGCAGAAATGTTTCGCTTTGATTCGTGAAAATTAGCCTTTTTACCCGTTTTTTAAATCTTGTCACGAGCTGCGGAGCGTCAACCAAATCTCGTACCTCTGAGACTTGGTCTGCGTGATTTGACGACGAGTCTTTCGTTTTCCGTTCTATTAAAATTCCTCGAAACGCAATATGTTCCA